ACCTTGTGATTAGTTTAAATCATAAAGAACAAAGGACAGGTACCTGGTCCATAGTGGGAAAACATCATAATAATGCAGCTCAGGGACACAATGGGGACACAAAAGGGAATCAGGTTTTGTGTGATTCCATTTATGCAAAATGTCCAGGAGAAGGAAACCCATAGAAACAGAAATCAGATTGGTTTGTCTGGAGTTGACCAGGAGGACAGCTGGGAGGTGGACTGTTTGTTGTTGTTATTTTTTTGTTTGTTCATTTGGGTTTTTTTGGTGGGGGGAAATTTAAAACTTTCGTGAACAAGATAGATATTGTCATTGAGACATTGTGCATTTCCTGCATTCTACTGAATTTCATATTTCAAAAGGTTACTTATATGTTATGCGTCTGTTGCTTCAATAAAAAGAAATACAAGTGAAACATGCGTGGTTCCCTTTAGCTCCCTTATACCTTGGAGGTTGCCCCACTTGTGTCCGTGGAGTTTTATGGGAGCAGGACTCCCACCAGGTCAGAGGTGCCCTAAGTGCCTTAGTGCTTAGGGACCAACCTACTCATGAAATTTCCACCTTCACTCCTGACTGGGGCTGAGTCTCAGTTCCAAAATGAGACCCACCATCCCTGCATCCTTTTGTCTGCGCTCATCTGCCATTCAACCAAGGATGCACTACAGCTTCTGATTCACCTTGTAGGCTTGGGGGATACACTTGCGACTTCCAAACAGCCCTTCCCACCACATGCCTCCCATGCACATGCCTTCATCAGGTCTGAAAATGACAGCAGATTTCTGGCAGTTGTGGCTCAGTGGTTGAGTGTGGACCTCTAAACCAGGAAGTCATGGTTCTATTCCTGGTCAGAGCACATGCCTGGGTTGTGGATTCCATCCCCAGTGTGGGGCTTGCAGGAGGCACCCGATCAATGATTCTCTCTTATCATTGATGTTTCTATTTCTCTCTCCCTCTCCCTTCCTTTCTGAAATCAATAAAAATATACTTTTTTAAAAAAGAAAGAAATTAACAACCAATTGGTGTTCTTCATGACTCAGGCACTGCTGATCCTCATAACAAGCCTCAGAAGTGGGGTTTCACAATTTTGCCCAACACGCAAAGAGGAAGAGGAGAAGAGACTGGCTCAAAATAGAGGGTCAATAAACGTGTCTCCAGGTCTTAGATTACAACGTGGGAATTGTCTCCAACGCACTCTTCTACCCAAAGCATGGAGGTGGAATTAACAGCATTAGACAAAGAGGTACAGTCTGGGGGACAAGAGGCAGTGAGGAGGCAGAAAGGACTCTGAAGGTTTGACGGAGAGGGATGGAGAGCAGGAGCTCTGCTCACAGAGACAGGGAAGTCAGAGAGAGGAAGTGATAGGGAGAAGCAGCAGCACACACCCAGGCCTGGAGGGCAGTGCTGGTTGCCTCTGTGGGTGAGTTGACAGTTTTGTAACATCCCCCAGGCCTCCTGCTCCTCTTGGGGTCAGCAACCTTGGCAAAGCCTCATTAGCTCCTGCAGGCAGTCGTGGTGGAGAGAGGACGAGCCCTCCATTCTCCCCTTTCTCTCTCACACACTGAATCAATCCCAGCATTCTGGCTCTCGGTTCTCCTTCCTGTGACCCAGTTCTCCCTACAGACAAGCTCAGGTGAAGCCCCAGGACAGCTCGTTTGTGTGACCCATCAGCCGCCTTCTGGCCTCCTCCACACCCTCAGTCTTGGCTCAGATGTTTCATTCTCATGGCCCCAAACATACCTGTCACCGACCATCCCCTGCACAAAGCCTGTCCACAGGTACCCCTGACTCCAGCCACATTCAGGAATCTCCACCCAGTAGTTCGTGCCATTGCTGATCAGGCTGAGCTACACTCTCCAGCCCGAGTGAGGCCAATGCCTCCTTCAACCTAACTCATCCCGAGAACCTCCTCCCCTCCCACAACACACAACCTGGGTTAGGACCACATCGTGGCCCCTCACAGGGCACTCTGAGCCCATCTAAACAGAGTTCCCTCCTCTCCTAACCTCCTAGACCAAAAAAGCATACATTTATTTCCAAAATGTATTCCTTACATTTTGGAAATAAATCAACAGATTTGGCAATAATCAATGTGTGAAACAAAACAGAAGTGAATTTTTTAGATTAAATGATAATGTAAATACTACACATCAAACCTATGAAATGAAAAAAGGAAAAGCCATGTGTGTTTGTGTGTGTTTATGTGTGTGAGCATATGTGTGAGAGTATAAGTGTTTGCATAAATTTGTGTGTGTGAGTGTGGGTGAGTCTATATATGTGTGGGCTGTATGAATATATATGTGAATGTTTGAGAGTTGTGTGTGTGTGTGTGAAGGTGTATTTGTGTGTTTTGGGTGTGAGTGTATGTAGTGTGTGTGTTTCAATGGGCCTATATATGTGTTAGTAGGTGTGTATGTGTGAGTGTGTAGTGTTTGAGAGTATATGTGTTCTGGTGTTTTAGTGTGACTGTGTACATGTGTGTGAATGTATATGTGTGTGAGTGTCTGAGTATGTATGTTTGTGATCATTTATGTCTGTGAGAGTTGTGTGACTAGTAATGAGAGTGGATATGTGTGTATGAGTGTATGTGTGTAACAGTATGTAGACATGAGTGTGTGTGAGCGTATATGAATGTGAGTGTGTATGTGTGAGTGTATGTATCTAAGAGTGGTTAAATAGTATGCTTATGTGTGTGTAAGTATCCAGGTGTATGAGTGTGAGTATATATGTGTGTGAGAATGTATGGCGATAGTGTGTGTGTCTGTGCGTGTGTGTGTGTTCATGGGCAGCTATAGCCATCTGTCTGAGGGAAGCAGAGGTGAGAGCTGAGGTGGGAGGGTCACATCTGGATGATCATGATCAGCCTTGAGTTCAGAAGGAAGAGCCTGGACTCACCCTGAAGACAGTGAGGACCATGGAAGGGTTTACGCATAAACAGCTTCTGAAAGGGAGTGGCCAGGGCAGATGTGGAGGGTGAACTGGAGAAGGAGTGAGGGTGTGGAGCTCAGAGCTCAGGAAGGTGATGGACATGACCGCTGCCATGAGGGTGTGAAGGTGACTTCCCTCCCTGCCTTGGTGACAGAGGACAACAAGGGGCTCTCAGAGCAGTGAGCCCAGGGGTGGAGGAGGGAGGAGCCTGGGGGCTGTACAAGATGCATCTGCTCCCACAGGGCAGTTCAGCTTCTCCTCCAGGCCCTGGTACGTAGGTCCTATGTCTCACACAGGTTCCACTTGACTCTTTGTCTGTGAGCAGCGGGAAGTCTCCATGTCCTGGTGGCCAATCATTTGAGTCATTTCTGACGCTTCAGAGCACCTTTGAGGTCATGTGTCACTTTCTTCTTCAAACTGTGGAGACTCATCAGGATTCAGACAATAACATTCATGGGATTCCTGTTCCAAGGCATAGCACACAGAGACACATTAAATATCAGTTGTGCTACCATCTGAGTGGCTGAAGGACTATTGAGCAGGCTACTTCCTCCCTTGACTTCTCAGGAAAACAAAAGCCTCCCCCACAAAGATGATGAGAATTTTTCTTGTCTGAGATATGGAGGAAACGAAACCAGCCATTCAATGCAGATGGAGATGTTGCTGTTTTGAGAAATTGAAAAGCAGACATGCCTTGTCCAAAAGAGCAGAAGGAAGACTCCAGGTCAGACCCCTCGCGTGGAGTCACCTGGATCATGAGAGACCTTTGCTGGGCTGCAGGGAGGTCATGGCCTTTCCATCAGGTGGTGCTGGGCCAGTGGATGAGTCTGCGGGACACAGTGAACATCTTACCTGCCTTACACCATTTACAATAATCAATGTCAGATGGGCGACGGATCCAAACATGAAAAATAAACCAATTTCTTTTTCTTTTGCGAAAATAAAAGGGGGGAATTATATCACTAGTTTGTGGGAGACTCATTTTCCTGCAATGTGGACACAAGAACATGAACTCAGAGGGGACATGGACACAGTGGATCCACTAAGATGAAGAACTTCTGTTCCTTATAGACACCAGCGAGACAGTGAAGACGATAGATATTTGCGATGCCAAAATGAGACCACGGATAGCATTGGTTGCAGGTTTGACCATGGCCCTCATGTGGGGTGCAACCTATTGACATGTCTCTCACATCGATGTTTCTCTCTCGTTCTCTCCTTCCCTCTCTCCCTTCCATCCTCTCTAAATAATTGGAAATAATATCCTCAGGTGAGGAGTAACAAAGCAAATTTTTAAATAAAAGGTGCTGAGCTTTATAAGTCATTGAAGAAATAAATATGCATCAAACCACAGGGTGGTACCAATACTTACACTCAATAATGAACATGAAGAAGGCAGGAAACACAAAGGGTGGGCAGGGATGGGAACCTACCAGGACCCTTGAACCAGGGTGAGTCAAGGAAATGCTAGGCCACTGGGAATCTGCTGGCAGAGTCTTTTATAAATGAGCTCCCTCAAGAGCAGTGGTCGGGTGTCCCATTGGGCTGTTCAGAGCCAGACTCTCAGGGGCTGAGTCAGGACCAGAACCTGGGTCCCGCCCTCCCTGAGCAGGAGTCAGCCCAGCAGACACATGAGACCCTGAGGCTCAGGTGAGACCTCAGACACTGCTGACCAGCCTCCTGAAACCTGGACGCCCGGTGAGCCCTCATTCTGGGGAGATGCAGTGCCAGGCCCAAGGCGGGGCTGACTCCTTGCTGTGGGGTGTGGTAACCCCGAAGGGTTGCAACAGCCTTTAACTGGTCACATCCTGTGAGACTCTGTTCTGCAGGCTCAGGCTTCCTCCATCTGCAGAGCAGGAGCCCTCAGAGCAGATGCCATGGCGTCCATCCTCTCCGTTCTTCTCTGCCTCGGTCAGTTGTGGACATGGGGATGGGGAGAAGGAGGGGCGGCTGCATCCTCTTGTTCATAGGGAACCTCAGGTTCAGGCAGCTAGAGTGGACGGGGTTCTAATGGGAAGGGAATTAGCTCAGCCATCCGGGTACAAATCTCTCACTGACATTCTCTTCCAGGTCTGAGTATGGGCCAGCGGATCCACATGCAGGCAGGTGAGTCCTCCCCAGGCTCCATGTTTCTCCTCTTACTTCACCCCTGGGGCTCAGGAGGGAGCACAGAGGTGCTGGGTTGAGGTGATTTAAGAGGAGGTTCTAGCACTAAGCTAGGAAATGAAGGTGGGGAAGGTCTTGGAAATGCAGCCTCTGGTTTCTTTCCAGGGACCCTCCTCAAACCCACCCTCTGGGCTGAGCCAGCCTCTGTGATGCCCTGGGGGAGCACCGTGACCATCTGGTGTCAGGGGACCTCGGAGGCCAAGGAGTTCTGTTTTGAGAAAGATGGAAGCACATTTCCCGGGTGCGGAGCAAATCCACTGCATCAAATGGGCAAAGGCAGGTTCAGCATCACAAGCCTGGCAGAGAATGGTGTTGGGAGATATCGCTGTTACTATCGCAGCCCTGCTGGCTGGTCAGAGCGCAGTGACCCCCTGGAGCTGGTGGTGACGATAGGTGAGAGGACACTCAGGGGTCCCAGCCTCAGACTCTCCCCTCAGGGAGGGGTTCTGCTCTCAGGGTGTCCCCCTCTCACAGACCAGCCCAGGGGGAAGTTAGGGAGGTCTTAGCCCATGTAACACACTGCCTCTTCCTTTCCTAGGATCCTACAGCAGACCCACCCTCTCAGCCCAGCCCAGCCCTATGATGACCTCAGGAGGGAACGTGACCCTCAAGTGTGGCTCATGGCAGGGATTTGGCAGGTTCATTCTGACTAAGGAAGGAGATCACAGGCTCTCCTGGTCCCTGAACTCACAGACACACCTCAGTGGAATGACAGTGCAGGCCCCAGGGAGGGAGAGAAACAGAGAGAGACAAGGGGTGGCGGGGGGGGGGGAGACTCAGAGATACAGAAACAGACAGAGAGGAGGGTCCTCAGAGAGTGGCCTGGTGACCCTCAGGTCACAACAAGGTGGGCAGGCAGCCCTCACCCTCCCTCCCTCTCTCTAGGACACCTGCCTGACAGACCCTCCCTCTCCTTGCAGCCAGGCCCCAGGATGGCCTCAGGAGAGAACGTGATCCTGCTTTGTCAGTCACAGAGCCTGAGGGACACTTTCCTTCTGTCCAAGTAGGGGGCAGCCGATATCCCCTGTGTCATAGATCAATGCACGGAGCTGGGCAGTTCCAGGCAGAGTTCTCCATGAGCCTTGTGACCTCAGTCCACGGAGGCACCTACAGGTGCTACAGGTCATTCAGCCCCTCTCCTTACCTGCTGTCACTCCCTCAGACCAGCCCAGGGGGAAGTTAGGGAGGTCTTAGCCCATGTAACACACTGCCTCTTCCTTTCCTAGGATCCTACAGCAGACCCACCCTCTCAGCCCAGCCCAGCCCTATGATGACCTCAGGAGGGAACGTGACCCTCAAGTGTGGCTCATGGCAGGGATTTGGCAGGTTCATTCTGACTAAGGAAGGAGATCACAGGCTCTCCTGGTCCCTGAACTCACAGACACACCTCAGTGGGCAGTACCAGGCCCTGTTCACTGTGGGCCCAGTGAACTCCAGCCACAGGTGGACGTTCAGATGCTATGGCTGTTTCAGGGACAAGCCCCACGTGTGCTCACAACCCAGTGACCCCCTGGAGCTCCTGGTCTCAGGTAAGTCACATTATTATCCCTTCCATTGATTCTGGCTCCAAACTGAGATGTTATTAGGGTCATTACTTTGAGTTGATCCCCATGTGAGAGGGTGAGGTCGGGACATCACAAGGGCTCCTGGGCAAGAGACACAGAGACAGTGAGACCGGGAGGCTAGGCCAGGAGCAGGGTTTTATGGGAGGAGCAGCCCCAGTAATTCTTGTCTGGTCTCCCCAGGTGAGTCTGGGAAGCCCTCCCTCCTGAGCCAGCAGAACTCCGTCATGGCCTCTGGACAGAGCCTGACCCTCCAGTGTCTCTCTGATGTTGGCTATGACAGATTTGCTCTGTCCAAAGAATGGGGATGGAACGTCCACCAGAGCTTAGGCTGGGCTCTGTCAGGCCCATTTACTCTTGACACTCAGAAAGGCTGACAAGGAGGCGGGTACATATGCTAGAGTAGGAACAAACTTTTCTTTGAGTGTTTGACCCAGTAACCCCTCCCCCAACCCTCTAGACATCCTGGTGGCAGGTGAGGAGCCAGTGGGTTCACTCAGGGACCCAGACTCTGCATAGGCCCCTGCTGAGGGTCTCAGGTGGTGAGGCCAGAAAGAAAGTGAAGGGCCCCAGGGAGGGGGAGAGACAGAGAGAGACAGGGTGTGGGAGGGGAGTTGGGAGACTCAGAGAAACGGAGCCAGACAGAGAGGAGGGTCCTCAGAGAGAGGCCTAGTGACTCTCAGGTCAGAACAAGTTGGGCAGCCCACCCAGCTGACCCTATGAACCAGGAGGTCGCAGTTAAATTGCAGGTGAGGTTGCATGCCCAGGTTGCCAGCTCAATTCCCAGGTATGGGGCATGCGTGAGGCAGCTGATCATATCTTCTTTCTCATGATTGATGTTTCCACCACTCTGTCCCTCTCCTTTCCTCTCTGAAACCGATCTACATTATAAAAGGCCAGTGGCCGTAATACACAGGAGGTGCATTGATGGGTCTTGCGGCGAGGCGGGTCTGGGGTTCCGCTGGCGGGTTCTGGATCTCGTGTGATTTCACACACTGGGCCTC